ATTTTAAGTTCTTAAAAATTACTTAAAACACCCAAAATATAAAAAGAAGACTCCACACCTATTCTATCTTTAGGATGTCTTAAATTATTAGCAGTACTCCTTTTTAAAAACACGGTAAAAGTAACCACAAATATGTGAGGACTTACTTGTAAGTGGAATGAAATGAGCTCCATAGATTAGTTTTGAATATAAAATATGTAAAAGTGCTTCAATGGTTTATATAGGCTTTAAAAACATACTGTCTTACAGTCCTTTAAAGCAGCTATAGAGTTTGTATCATTTTTGAAGCCAGTTTCAGTCAGGGATTTGAAGTGTTTGATTATGGATGATAAATATGTCATATCTTATTAACATGTCTCATGTCTCATTCATTCGCAATATGATTTAGTTGGAATTTATTTTCTTTTTGTTTCATGTTTAATTTCATAAACATTTAACAATTGGCGTATGTACTTGGCATTCCTGTCAATCAAGGATTATAATCCAAGCCTGGGAAAAATCTTAAATTTCTTTATACTTAAATCTGGAAATTTGTCTCCATTCTGCCAACTTTTTCTTTTTTTTACATAGTGGAGGGGAGGAAACGGGGGTGGTATACCTTGCAGTAAGTCAAAATAGCATGCCAAAAAATTTGAAACAGACCATTCTAATACCTGAGGCTTAATTGTTTATAAAATACTTAAGAGAATTATATTAATATGGAATCAACAAATGGATAAGAATACAACATAACTTTTAAAAGCTTTTGTAAATATCAGCAGGGATTGTAAGCAAATCTACAAAGGTTCTTGAACCTTTCTACTATGTACAAAACTGGAAAGTTATTAAGGCGTTCAACTAATCAGGAATTAAATGGTCATTTATTTCATGCTGTATGATTTAAGGTATTTTTGGGATTCTGGTCAAATGTCATTGGCAAATGGGATTTAAAAAAACCTAAATCAGTAGGTGAACACAAAATAATTATCAAAATAATGGTATTGGAGAACTTGTTTCCTGCTATTTGGAAGAAATTACGGCTTCATTGCTAGTTTATATTTCTAACTTCTACAGTTATAGACTCCACTGTGCTTTGTATCTGAATCTCTCAGTGTAGACGTTTTGTTTACTGTATGCTTGCATATTTATTTTCAACTTCGTCTGTCTTTAAAATTGCTTTAGGAAAAATGGTTGTAATTAATTTCTGCTACAGAAAAGCCACCTGGTATGTTTTATATCATCAAGATGATTGTTTTAAATTCTAAACTATAACTTCGTTCAGGGGGGCTTTTGCAATGATAGCAGAAAACTGTATAGAGGTTCTTGTTGAAATGAACTAACCATTTGATGATATGTACAGCTGTATACTTGAGTCTTTTTTAGTTTACTTATAAAGACTAGCAATTTGACCTGTTAAACAGGACTAGTTCCAGTTAAGAAACTAAGATTGTTGTATATACCTGGAGGCATCTGTTATTCAGCTTATTGTTTGAGTGGGTTTTTGGCGCAATGAGGATAAACTTATGTGACCCACTTGAATGGCTGATCTAATGTTGACATGAATTCTGTACTTAGTGAAATGTCAGATGAAAATAACTGATGAATAATTTTTTATATTAAAGGAATGGGAAAAGAACACATGAATTTGTTAATAAAGCACTATGATCGGCAAAAGATGGAATGTTTCATAAAGATCTAAAGAAATAAAGGAAACTTTAAAACAGGGTGATCTTAAAATTCTTAGTTACATTGTAGTTCAGAAAGTGCCGTAGCCAATTTAAAAATTTTTTGATAGTAATGTACAAACATATCTGTGGATATGTATTTTGATGATGTTAACACAACCATGAAATACAAATATATTTTAAGCAACTCTAATTAAGAGTGTAGATTTCTAGGTTATACTCCAACTTGCCAAATCTCTGCAAGGTGGGGCCCAGGACGGCATTTTAACAACCTTTCCAGGCAATTCTTGTCCACAACAAGGTTTGAAAACTGATGGAGGGATTATAAAGCAGGGAGCATTTCTCTCTGTTCTAAGTAGCTGTGGAACCAACTTAGACATCTCACTGGAAAGAAATGACTAAAAGGGATGGGGAGGACTACAGAGAATTGATTATTTACTGGGCATCTGCTTACCTCCTAGGCACTATCCATACTTCTAATTTAATCAGCATGCGGGCCTTATGAAGGGAGTATCGTTATTCCCTTACAAATATGGAATAGGCTAATTTTCAATGTTAGTTGAATTTTCCATATTACTTTTGAATTAGTGTATGTCAACTTCTCCAGCTTATGTCCAGGAACAGAAATGGGGCTAATCAGTACCTAGGCCTTTGTTCTGGTGTTGACATTTCAGTGTGGCCCATACACTTGATTTACCAGGCTAATTTGCAGCTCACTAGAAGTCTTTCAGGTGATCATATTTACTTTGGTGACCACATTTTGCTACAGCAATAAATTTAGTGTGATTTTACCCAAATTGAAGGAAATCTAATTTTGTTAAAGAGCATTTTTTCACAGAGGACGCCAAATTTGACTCTAGTGTTTTATGAAAGAGTATCTCCCCCTGCTATGTTACTGATTTTGAATTTTTAAAATTCTGTTTCATAGGAAGATCTGAGTTAGAATGTATGAATGGAAAAAAAGGCAAAGCAAAACAATGTCAGAGATTCAAGAGCCAAAAGCTATGGAATGGGATTTGCTCTAAGGGAATATAAAGTCAGTGTACTTCATAATTGACTAAGAATGTGTTTTTTTTTTTTCAAAAAAATGTAATCTTTTCATTTGTAGAGTAAGCTACAAATGTATTTCTGTAACTTCCTCTGGTTCTCTGTGCCTAGATCTGAGCACTTAAATTTTGCTGCTGTACTAACTAGTCTGCTTTTAAATTAATGGCCACAAAGTACACATGGCCACTCAACTCTGCCAAACTTTCTAATATGCCCTTTTACTGTATATTCACTTTCACTCTTCTCAGAATGACTCCCTGCCACCCCCACCCTGAGACAGGGTCTTGCTCTGTCGCCCAGGCTGGAGACATAGCTCATTGCAGCCTTGGTCTTGTGGGCTCAAGCCATCTTCCCACGTCACCCTCCCAAAAAGCTAGGACTAGAGGTGTGTGCCACAACACCAGGATGATTTAAAAAAATTTTTGTAGAGACAGGATCTTTGTTGCCCAGGCCAGTCTCAAACTCCTGGCCTCAAGTGATCCTCCTGCCTTGGCTTCCCAAAGTGTTGGGATTACAGGTGTGAGCTATTGTGCCTGGCCCAGAATCACTCTATAGTGTGAACCAATTATTTCCTTTTGGCCAAACCCATTCATCACTTCTCTGTATCTTAGTTGACCCCTTAGTGGCATTCATTATTATTGACCATGTCCTTGTATCTTCCTGTGACTAACTTCTTGATTTGAATAGCCTTTTCCAGGCTTGGCCAACCACCCTATTCCAAATCTGTACTCCCCCCCCACCCCCCAGGCAGTCTAATCTAGAGCCATCACTTTAAATATCATAGATATGCAGATGATCTCCAAATATGTATTTCAGTTCTGACTGTAACTCAACTCCAGACTTAGCCATTTGCCTGTTTGACAACCCTGGTAGGATGTCTATCTAGTAAGCATCTCAAAATTGACATCTAACTACCAAGGTAACCATATCATAGATAATGTCTTCCCAACTGAGACACTTGAGAGTGAAAGAGCAAGAGCACCACTGAAACTTTATGTTGGGACAAGAAGCATATACTAAAAACTCTCCAAGGGTTTCCTATCACACTTATGAATGAGATTCTGCTCCTTAGAAGGGCCCGTGCTGCCTATCTATCTCCTCTTGTGCCACTTTCCCAATCACTCGGCCCTGCTACAACTGTACTGGCTGCTATTCTTCTTGAATCAACATTCCTACACAACTTACCCTGAGTCTCCTGATCCGTACAACTGAACAATGGTACTTGTAGAATTGTAAGTGACTTACCCTGAGTCTCCTCATCTGTAGAAGTGGACAGTGGTACTTTTAGAATCGTGGAGCACTTATACACAGAGCTCCCTCTCACTGTCCTAAGGAAGTGAACAGATTTGGATAGTAAGGGTTAGTTGCATTTGCTGAAGGAGTGAAGAGTAAGGATACTGCCTGCATTTTTCATAATTTTTCCATTATACTTAAACCATGTACAAATAGTGCACAGATGTTTAGTGTCAGAGTCAATTGTTTGGCTGTGCATTTGTTACAAAGTTCAGACTTCACAGCTGAAAGGGAGCCAGTTCTTTATCTGGGCAATGTTTATCTTGGAACAAGGTTCAGAAATGGAAACTTGAAACACTACTCCTAAAATTAGTACTAACCATCACCCACTTTCCCTTATAGGCAGACCTGGATTTTCAGAAAGTTTTCTAAAAACCTCCATTTATTTCAAGTGTATATAAATTAGATAATTTTGAATTAGATTTTATAGAGAGGTTTTCATAAATGTACCCAAATTTGTTGTTAGTACTCATTGCTTTTGGCATGTCAGGTAGGGGTGACTTCTCTTATGCCAATTCATAAGTAATCCTTCCAATTTACAAGGTTTGAACAGAAGTCGAAGCCTACTTAATAAACTTGACTCTGCCACTTGGCAGCTGAGTGGCGCCTCTAAGCTTCAGTTTCCTCATGTGTCAAATGAGGAAAGTAATAAATGCACATGGTGCTTTATGAGAGTTGTTATAATGGTCAATTTTAAGCAAACTGACCACACAAGTAGGTTCTTTTTTTTTTTTTTTTTTTT